ACAGCGCTCCAGGGAGGGGGCCGCTTTCTCCTACTGCGGACTGCGCCCCTGACCACACCGAACCCGGCCGGCTCCCCTCCTCCCCAGGTGCGTGAACAGGGAGCCGGCCCCAGTCCGATGAAAGCCCCGCGGTTAGGGATGGGACCCCTCTGAGTCCCAGCCCGAGGTTTCTCTCTTGTCCAGATACAGTCCTACGCTTCCCCAGCCGTTCTTTCTCCTCCCTTTGTCTCTCGGAAGAAGGGGATCCCTCCCCTCCGTGCCTACACGGCCCGTTTTATCTCCCCCAGTTCACAGTCACCCACTTACCGTTTCTCAAGTTTCCCCATTTTCTTCCCAGTAGTTTCAGTCTCTTTTCCTGCCAGACTCTTGGGGTTCAAAGTCCTTTGGCTTCAGCACTTCTTTGTTTGAGAGACACAGGAAGTGTGGATCCCCTTACTTCTCCGCCACGTTGGCCCCCCTCCTCAAGAACCACGGATGAAGCCTCTTTGAATTTTCAAGAGACTGCCCGAGGGGGGGGGGGGGCCTGGCCCCAGGCCCTTGCCTCAGCGAGCGCAGGCGCCTTGGGGAGAGCCATGTCTCCCGTGGCGGTCGCCTGGGGTGCTGATGGCAGAGCTGTTAGGTGAGCACTGAAGGCTCCTGCTCGGGTCTGTTGTGAGGGCGCCCAGCGGGGCCCGGCCCTGGCAGTGCCCCGTGCAGGTGATGCGTCGTGGTCACGTTCTGGGCTGACGTCCTGAGGACTCGGGCTCGGCTGCCCGCTCCCCATCTTTCCAGGTTGGCATTTCCTGTCCTTGCCCCACCGGGCAGCCGTCCCTCACATCCCCTTGGGCACTGGGACCAGATACCGAGCATCAGTTGAATGGGAGTTGGTGGGGCCGCCACACGTGCTCCCCACCGGCACCTTCCGTCGCGGCAGTGTTGGCGTGTGCCCGCCGCGTGCTCAGCACTGGGTAGAGCGGTGAGCGGGTCTCGTGGGGCGACACATCTACACGCTCTGCCACCGGGTAGTGCCGAGTGCCGCGAAGTACCGTAAAGCAGGTGAAGTGGGTCTCTGCCTTCCCTGACGAGGGGACATGGGAGCAGTGTCGTATCCGGTCCACGCGGGGTGCGTGGGGAATGCCTCCGAGGAGGGGACATCGCACGTGAGGCCCGAGCGGAGGAGGGAGTAGCCGTGGGGACTCTGGGGACACCCAGGGAAAGAGCACGAGGCCCAGGGAAGAGCAGGGAAGGGCCTGACAAGGTGTGCGGGCCCCAGCGGGAGAGCTTCCAAGGCGAAGGGAGTGGAAAGGGGTGCAGCCCTAGTCCTGCCCAGGCTCTTGCCGCATCGTGACCTCGCGGGGGTGCATCTGTCGTGGAGAATCGGGGCCTGTTACTTAGGAGTGACTTGTGTCCCTCCGACACACACGCTGGCAAAAAGCCTGCAGGTCCCTGCTCCCTCTGGGGCAACTGGCCGCTTGCCCTTGTCCCCTCGCGCCCTCCCCAGCCCTGCCCCTCTCATCCGGCTGCCTGTGCTTCTGCTTACTCTCAGGGGCCCCTTCTCTCTCTGCCTGACCAGCTCCGTGCTGCTCTCCCCTTTATCGTGCCGCCAGCGTTGGGTCCTCAGAGGGGTATTGTGGGCTTCTGCTCGCGCGTTCACGCAGACGGTGAGGGCCTGCCGTGCGGCCTGTGTGCCGTGGGTCCCCGCACCCGGAGCTGCGGGCTGGCCTGGGCCCCGAGACATGTGGAGACAGTGAACCTGTGAGCTGCCCGGGGCTGTGCCTGTGCTTAGCTTTGTGACTGGGCACTCAGCTCTTGGGCCAGTGAGTTTTAGCGACCGGTGCGCTCGCATTTGAGTTGCCCTCGTGGAGATGTGGAATATGAGAATGGGAGGAGAACCCTTGGACGTTGGGAAGCTGGCTGGTCAGTGTGTGAGGCAGACGGTAAGAGGGGCTTTGTCATTGGTCATCCATCCTTGTGACGGGATGTGTGGGACGGGCAAAGGCATCTTTAGCCCTGGTGGCAGGGGAAGAAGACTTCCCGCTTTTAAAACGTGCGTTTTTCTCCATTGGATGAAAGTTCTGCAGCTCGTTCCAGATTTTTGGGTTTCGGGTCAAATCGTTATGTCAAGGTCAAATAGCTGTGTTAACATGCACTCTACTCTTGAGGGAAACAGTTAACGTACAGATAGGACTTGAAACCAGCCCTGCTTACTCATGTTTCTCTTATTTTTAAAGGTTCATATCTATTTTAATTTTCTGTCCAGAAAGATGGCATTCAGACGGAACTGTTTATCCCAAACCCGCCTGGCTGGGGGAAGAGCTGCTGGCCAGGCTGGCCAGGTGGTCTGTGGGGAGCAAGAAAAGAGGGTTTAAAAGCACCCTGTCCCTCATTTCCGTCATCGAATACAGCAAGACTTACCAGGCGCTTAAGGAGAAGCATAAAGACATGGTCAAGGTAACTCTGGGGAAAACACTTGTGACTCCCTTGTTCCGATGGGTGGCGGTGACCAGACAATAGGTCAGGCGGGTAAAGTCGTTTCTCCCGTAGACCTTCCAGTTCATCCCGACGCAGACATCACGGCAGAACATACCCACTTACGGGCCCCACTGCAGGCAGGCTGTACTTCGACATTTGTATGGATGCGAACCGCAAAGATATTGACAGATGTGTTACGGAGAAGGATCTTCTCTTTTGCGCTTTGTGAATTTTTTTCCAAGCGAATAAAAGGGAATATTTAATTGAAAATACTTAAAGGTTAGTTACTCAATTGCCACATTTCCTTAGGATGTACTTAAGGATGTTTAAGGAGAATATATAAAAACTTAAAGTACGAAAGCATATGTTTTCCGAAAGGAGATACATCTCAGATCACGTCTATCACTGCATATTGAAGACATAAAAAGAAGGTAGCAGCAGACGTCTGTGTTCACACCCAGAAGAAGAAATAAAGCATCACTAATGGGGCTGAACTTCTCTTGTGCCCTTGCCAGGGTCCGGCCCTGTTCCTGGAAGGAACCATGACCTGTCCTTTCCATGTGTGGTTTTTTTTCTCAGTTACCTGTGGTCGTGTAACAGGGTGCCCCAAAGGTCACAGGCTGGAGGCAGTGACCCTTCATTAGGGCACCTGGCCGACCTAAGCTGGGGACCCTCCTCTTCCAGATGCTGGTCTGTGAGGCCTTCATTATCTTACTAACTGTTCGGTTCTTTCAAGAAAGGACCTTCTGTTATCCCAGCCTTTGAAATTGTCCTGAGTCACGCAGACTGCCCTGCCTAATCCCCCATGCCTAGAAACAGAATCCAGAACAGGACAGAACGTGTAACCTTGTTGTTGGTGTTTCCTCTTCTGCCAGATGTCCTCTGCACGTTGCTAGTTTCGACGATGGGGTGTCACGCTTGTGCAGCTGGTGTTGCACAGCTTTGAGAGCACCTGACCGTTGTCCTGTGTGGCGGCTGACGTTTTCCCCTCAGGCTTTGTCCCTGCTTTACGGGTAGGGAGATGGGGACCAGCGACAGCCAGTCACCAACCGACGAGAGGGCTAGAGCTCTGACCTCCTGACCCTTTCGCTCTCCTCGCCCGGCGCCTTGCTCATTTTCCTCATCTACATAAACGTCAGGGATGGCATGGCCGAGAGCTTTCCCCTGATGTCCTGTGGTCTCATCTGAATGTCTTACATGTGTTGTCCTTGCTGGAAAATCCTGCCTTGGACGGCATTGCCCTTGACGGGTCCTGTGGTGCATCCAGGGTACAAGTTTTATGTGTCTTGATGCGGACCTCTTACTGCAGCAGAGTGATCCTAAGTGTCTGCTTTGCAATGAGCTTATTTTTTTAAGTTTTACAGCCTGATGAGTTTGACTTGTGCCTTATGGGGATACTTAAGTATAGCAAGATGGCTAGGTGCTGGGAGAACAATTTACATACGCTCTTACTGATTTCTCAGGTGTGGCCTGAAGTTACTGATCCTGAGAAGTTTGTGTATGAAGATGTGGCTATTGCTGCCTACCTGCTGGTAAGGACCGCTGTCGTCATCTAAGCTCCTGTGGGGCGGGGCAAGGTTGCCACTGGCAGAAGCTGTCAGCGAGGAACAGCACGTACCGAAGGGAACAGCATGTATCGAATTCCCTGCCTTGGGGCGTGTCTGGTTCTGCTCGCCAGGTTGGTAACAGGTGCAGCGGTCGGATTTTGCGTGAGTGTGGAATGAGTCTGAGTCGTGTGAAGCCGAGCTGTGGGGACTCCAGCTTAGCCAGGTGCCTGCTTGATTCACCGTCGCCGTGGACACGCTGGGCGGCCCTCGCTGCTGGCGGGGCCCGTGTGATAGGCACTTGCCTTCCAGTCCTGAATCTTCCCTTAGCTAGCTCACCAGTCTTGATTTTAGACTAGATAATTTCCAGTTTCCTTTCCTCTGTGATTCTCATCGCCCGTTTAGAAACAGCGTATCTTGCCTTGATTATCAAAGTAGATGGTCTTGAAGAACATAGAGAAAGCACGAGGACACCAACAAACAATAATCTGTAAAGCTCTTGCCCAGAGATGACCACTTCCATGCGGACTCTTGATGGAAGAAGAAAGCTTCGATGCCCCCACAGCATCAGGCGAGAGCAGGGGCCGACACCCCTTCCGCTCCCTCCGCTCACCTGTCCGACAGCCACACAGAAGCCCAGGGCCACGGACGAGGCCTCTCTACCTGTTTTGGAAACGTGATTTGTAATCCCACGTGGGGTTTGTGTCTGAATTACTCTTGGAAGAAGTGAATCAGGAACTGATTATTTTTTTGTTTTGTTTTGTTTTTTTAAATTAGATTCTGTGGGAAGAAGAAAGAGCTGAGCTGGGCCTGACAGCCAAGCAGTCCTTTGTTGACCTAGGATGCGGAAATGGTCTCCTGGTTCACATCCTGAGCACCGAGGGGGTAAAGTGCACTTCCCTGGCCGTTTTGGCTCCTTTTCTAAAGCGTCTTCCGGTCCAGCACAAGGGCCCTTGAGCTCTTTCTCTGCCGGTACGAGCCGCATCCAGGGTCTGCCTGGCTGTCAGACTCGTGACTGAGGAGAGAGCCCGCGGCCCTCGCGCCACGTAGGACAGGGCTCGCGGGCGCGCCTGTAGAACGACAGAGCCCACAGCACGGCGGTTTCTGCTGTCGGTGCCTCTTCGGGACACTGGAAGGGAGTGGAAGGCAAGGTGGATTCTGCCCTCCAGAAGCTTAAGTCCAGCTCGGAGGACAGTGTTTACACTGTGATGTAACACGGCCATACCGAGTCTTGCACCATTTTCTGGACCCGTGAAGTAAAGGCAGGAAGTGCTTAGAGCAGCCCCCGCCTCCGGGAGCGGTTCCGTGTGAGTGCGAGCCACGACCCGCCCAGGCTGGTGCTTCCAGCTGGCGTCAGCCTTCCTGTGGAGTCGCCGAGCGGAGTTGCCTTAGCTTGGCAGCTTCACACTTCGTCACGGGCACCACGGCTGATTTGTTTTTGTTTTTAATGTTTATTTTTGAGAGAGAGACAGAAAGTGTGAGTGGGGCAGGGGCAGAGAGAGGGAGACTCACAATCCAAAGCGGGCTCCAGGCTCCGAGCCGTCAGCACAGAGCCCGACGCGGGGCTCGAACCTAAACTGTGAGATCGTGACCTGAGCCCAAGTCGGACGCTCAACCGACTGAGCCCCCCAGGCGCCCCGCCCCGGGAGCTGATTGAACTGA